GTATAAAAATCTAATTCATCTAATTTACGTATTATATCTTAATAAGTCTACTATGTTTCTTTTCAGAACTTGGATTTTCCTTTGTTTCAACCTTAACAAGGTGTCCTTCGAGAGCCGGGTAACCACTTACAATAATATTTGTTGAATTTTATGCATTCAATGTTTAATGGAAAAAAAATCAAATTCATTTAATCTACATCAAAAATCTTGAAACATTTAAATCATTTGATTAAAATTAACTAATAATAATTAACTTCTAATAAATTGACTTCATAAATGTAAAATATTATTCAATTTAAATTAATCACTCTAATTTTGTTTCAAAATATTCAAATTTTAATATAATTTTTTTTTATGTTTCTTTTTCAGAACTTGGGATTTTTTTTGGACTCAAATCAATTTTCTTCCGGGAGCCGGGGATCCCTTTTTCATTTCTACTTCTGAACTCTACACTTTGAATATTAAATGGTATAAAAATCAAATTCATTTAATTTATATAAATTATCTTAATAAATCTGATATGTTTGTTTTCAGAACTTGGATTATTCTTTGTTTATACCCAAAGGAAGTGTCATTGGAGAGCTCGATAACTACTTATAATTTTTTTTGTTGAATTTTATACATTAAATATTTAATGGTATAAAAACCAAATTAATTTTATATACATAGAATATCCTAAATTTTTTAAATCATTTGATTAAAACTAACTAATAATTATTACTCTTAATAAATATTGCTCATAAATTTAAATTAATCAATCTTATTTTGTTTCAAAATATTCAAATATTTATTCATTTATTTTTATGTTTTCTTTTTCAGAACCTTTTTTTTTTTTTTGATCCACCCGAATCAATTTTCCTCCGGGAGCCGGAGATCCCCTTTTTGTTTTGGTTTTTTGAATTTTAGACTTAAAATATTTAATGGTATAAAAATCAAATTCAATAATTTACATAAATTATCTTTATAAATCTGATATGTTTTCTTTTTAGAACTGGGGTATTTTTATCATCTATCAAAATCAAATTTGTTTCAGGAGCTGAGTAACTTTTTTTCATTTTCCACTTTACATTTTCAATGGTATATACATGATAATTTTGTAATTTACTTAAAATAATTTAAAAATTTTAAATAAATTATATTTACTATATATATTCTTTATATAATTACTCTTCTTTAATAACCAAATAATATTATTATAATTCAATTTTCTTTATGGTTCTTTTCAAAACTGAGATTTTTTTTTTCATTTACCTAAATCAAAATTCCTCCGGGAGTCGGAGATCACTTTTTCATTTTTATGGTATAAATATGATTGTTTTATAACTTATTAAAATATTATAGAAATATAAAAAAATATTTAAATTTATGCTTTATTTCTGAATTTTTATTGATCAAGTTTAAATGTTTATAAGAATAATTAATGTTTTATGAAAAGTAATAAGTTATTTAATAGTTTTATTAAAAGGAAATATTTACTTCTACACATTTTTATAGCATTCAGACCTTGAAAATTCTTTAATGTCATCTTTAATACCATTAATATCAATCAATAATGAGAAATTTTTAGCTATTACTGGATTACTCAGTCGACTTGATACACCACTATTTGCCAATATCTATATCACCACATCAAGGACACTCTTCGCAGGAGCATTTCTGAAAAAGATTATTGAACAATAATTGTTGTATATGATGAAAGGAGAACATAAAATAGTTTAATCGAATTTTTTACCTTGGAGGTTATAAAAAATATATATATTTATTTTCTTATTTTGAATGGAAGATAAAGTTTAATATTTACATAAATTACCTCAAGTTGCCACTATTTTGAAGATTTGACATTTTAGTGGTTTAAGTAAATAAAAAATGTAATAATCGGGTGTAGAAGGAATAAGATGCAAGTTCTGCCATACCATGTGTGACGTTTCGTCATTGTTCCTCTTCTTTTGGCCAAGGTACATTTAGTCACTGACCTATAGAAGGGCCGCTATGAAACATTGTTGGACAACAAGATTGATTGACAAGGAAACAAATTAAAACAGTGTTTGAAACATCACAGCAACATAAACATACTATCAGTGTTCACGAAAAGACAACAATTTACAAAAGGGCCCTCGTGATTATGGATGTTGCGATACTACTGATATTAAAAAAGTATCGATACATTTCTTTCGATACAAGTACTTTTTGTATCTATCAATACTTTACTTGTATCGATAAAAAAATACTGGTATCGAATGTATAGCATTAAATCATTTATTAACCGCCATAATGGTTCAAAAATCAAAAGTACTCGAATGGTCGAATGGTATCAAAGAATAATTCTTTTCTAGAAAAATTATTTGCGCACATGGTAGAGAATTTGTTTATAAAATTCGGTCATCATACTAAAGTCTATATTTTATACGACTGTATTTGTTATTTCCATGAACCAGAAACTACAGTCCACAATACAATAGTGTCAATAGGTTTATAATAAACCTTTTTATCATAAATTATGTATACTGAGTTCATTTTTAACAATAGAAATAGTAAAAAGTATTGCACAAAATATACAATATGTTTAGATTTACTGATTTATATACCGATTAGATGAAATATAAATTACAAATAATGATATAGGTACCTGGCGGAAACAATTAAAAATTTGTTTACATACAGCATTTTTATCTGTGGTTCATGAACCATAACTAGTTTTAGTTAAATATTAGTAAAATGGCATATTTTAAGATATACTAACATTTTGAATTCATTCTTAACTTGGAGAAAGAAAACTTTAAAATATAAAAATAATTTTTCATTTGATACTTATTCATATAGGTCGTTTTCATATTTTATTGTTATCAATATTTTAATTATATTTGTTACGATGATAGGACTAAGTAAAAGGATTAATATTTTTTTTTCGATATTCATACCGGTCGTTACGTTTCGTTATTTTCATTCCATTCGTTACCAAGTGAAAATATCGATACTTTTCTTTCGATATCATGTCTCTACCTGTAAAATCATAGATAATAGTTAGATACTCCTTTGACTGTAGAAAATAATTTTTTTATAGATAATACATTACATGCTTTTATTAAAGTTAAATTTAGGCGGTGCGATGCACAATGAGTGTATATTGCCTTTGGTTGCAAATTTAAGATTCTAGCTTGAACTCCGCGGTATTTACCAGACATATTTGCTCCACCATCATATCCCTACCCTCGTAAAAATTCCAAACTTAAACCAATTTCTTTTAATTTTTGGACGATTGTATTTGCTAAATTTTCACCAGTACATTCATAAACCGGAACAAAGCAAATAATATTTTCTTTTATCAAGCATGATTTTAAATCAACATATCTAATCGATAAACTCATTTGCTCAATGTGTGATAAATCAGAAGTTTCATCACATAAAATTGAAAAAAATTTACATTCATTTACCTCTTTTATTAATTTGTCTGTGATAATCAAGCCACATATATCGATCAAATTATTTTGAATAGTTTTACTAACAAATGTTGCATTTTTTTGGAGTCGATTCTAAGTGATTGCGAACATCTACATCGCCCGTGTCTATTCTGAACATCAACAATTCTTTGAATATTCCAATATTAAAATTATTTTTTGCTTGATCATTTGAAATCAGATTTGATAAATTAACATCGTCTCTATGCCTCCTTATAGATATATTATGACGACCACAGAAAATAATTGTTTTAATTATAGGAATTAACTTCTTTGTATTTTGTTTGACAGTTTCATTTAGTTGATCATCAAGTTGAATTTCTATTGTTTTTTGTTTGCCTTCAAAAAATTTTATAAATTCTAAAGATCGCACAATTGCTGTTTTATGATATTCTCTTTCCATATGTATCTTAAAATCGTGTAAAGCATCATTGTATTTTATCATAGGAATTTCTTTTAAGATCCCAAGCCTTTGTCCTCCAATTTCACCAAACTTTGGTCCAAAAAGTACACATACTTTACAAAACGCTCCTTCTCTATTACGACTATAAGCTAATCAGTTGTGCTTATTTAGCCATTCAATTTGAAAGCTTCTTTTATGACCTTTTTTATTCATACTTACAGGGAAAATATAATTTTGTTTCGGTGACCACGTTTCTTTTAAATATTTGTAAAGCATATTTGGATCGTTTCGAATTTTTAGATTTGCATTTTCTTCAATAGCAAATGCGATATCATATTGACTGTTAGAATCGACTTCACACGAATCAGAAAATGTAGCTGGCTCTGACTCTGTTGGTAACACGCTTACATTTTCTATATCTTCACTTGGAGATGGATTATTTTCGTCACTTGTTTTCAACTTTTTAAAAAAAAAGTTTATTTCACTTAGTCGTTTTTATGACATTTTAAAACAGAATAATTGAACACGAAACTGCAAACGAAAACACTACGGACAACAGCAGTACAGGCGAGTACAGCACGAAATACGAATTACACACGAGTGACACGACGACTGTAAAATTACTAACATTTTAAAACGATAATAGCAATATAGAAATGGATTAGTGAGAATCGTCTTACAAATAAAATAAGATAAGATAGCGATGGCCAGTAGGAACGATACATGGCAAAAATAGCAGGTCTGCCGTCTGCGTTAAGGCGAAATGCCTTTATACCTTCAGGCCCTCCCTTAAATCCGTCACTGAATACTCACAAATGAAATGATACGTTGCCTGTATTATCTTTAGAGGATACATGACAAACAATGCAAGTACGAACCATAGCTTGAAGACAAATGATAATTCGTACAGAATCGGGAATACTTCAATTTGTAAAAATGTTAAATAATTTTAAAATCAAATGCGTTAACAATAAAAATATTTGTTATCATCGTAGATATCTTCTATTATCATTATGAAATAAAACTAATGATAAAACCCCTTGCTAAAGTGAGTGCACTATATAAAAGCAGTCTATCTCTCATCCACATTCCGGACCACGACCCCTTGTATTGTTAATATATGATTGGCCTATCCATTCTTCTATTATCTATGGTGTACCTTCCGAAATGTGATAACGAAATAATTTAAATTTGTTTGATAATACATTTAACCGTTTTTTTTTGATAATATTAAAATTGCGAGTTTTATAATATTAGTTGGTTCAGAAATTCAATTCTATCTATCTGAACACTGCGAATTCATCAGACTACTTAGATCCATCTTGTCGTTGTAACTTCCATGTTTTATATTTTCTGTTGAAGTTGTTTGCTATGGCTGACACAGAGTTTTATATTTATACGGACCGAAATAAGTTGCGGACGCCTTGCACATCAACAATCACAACAGAATACAGGGTTGGAGAACTACTGAAAACCAAAGAATTGAAACCATTTATTAAAGGTGAACTATTACTTTATTGCAATTGTCTGAGTTGCATGAATTTCATATTCATTTATTTTAAATTTCAGCATTTAAAGAGGAATTGGAAGTGGATGGTTTGCAGTCAATATTTAAAAATTTCGACAAACTTTTTTCAGTGATTGAATTTATTGAACAGATTGACTATTTGTATCTGCATGACTTTTATGAAAATATTCTTTTAAGGAGTAAGTGAAATTACTAAATTTGTTACGTGCCTGGTAATGAGTATGACTAATTCTATATGAATTAGTATAAGATTACTTTATGTTTAGGGTTAATGTTTACGACCATCGCCGGGTCCGCATCAAATGTGTTTTTATATTATGGCAGAACATAATTGTTTTATACTTGTATTAATCTCATTGGCTAAAGTATAAAGAGGAATGACTGGCAATGTCTATTAGAAATCACCAGACAATAGTAGGACATCACCACCAAAAAGTTTAAATCTTGCATAATTTCTATGCTTCTAGTGAATGCTTTTGATTTATAGTATACTCATCCTAAATTATAATTAAATTCCTAAGTTAACTAACTCCTTTGCAATTTTACAGCAATTTCGTTTTTTTATTTTTTATTGTTACTCATTGCATTTGAATTGTTATTAATATGTAATGGTCGTTCACCCAATATTCTAATGCAATCTTTTCCGACTATATATTTGGAAGAATCAACAGTATCAAAAATATCTCATTAGTTCCACCTGATGTGTCCAAGAAAAAAGCCCCATTACTCAGTATTAATCAGCATAATTTGATTATAAATACCTGTCAGTTCTTTGTTCATTATAATTGTAGCTAATTCAATATCATTATTCTATTTATCTTGTTCCAAATTACTGTCAACTAAGTCAGGCGAGGGCATACTATGATGTGTCAACAGCAAATTTAAATTTTAAAATTAAAATACATAAATCCTGGATCAACAATAATGCTTCATTATACATCTCTGGCTTGAAATCTATTTTTCGATGTTGATTTATTTGTTTATCTCTATGCAGTATGTCTTTAATCATATAATTCTTATATTTTTCCCACAAAGCCAATGATATATGAATATAATGTCAAAATAATTGCATATAGTTTTCGAATATTATTCTATATGCATATCAACACTACATTAGCAAATGTTAGCTACCAATGATTATATTCTTCCAACAATTGCATCTTGTTTTGATATGTATAAAAACTTGACCATTAACTGTTCCTAAAAAAGGGCTTTGGTTTAGGAACATTCACCAACAAAAAATGTAAATAGAAGTATTCATTTTGTTTTTGATATTATGTCAATTTCTTGGCTTTGAATATGCTTGAGATTGAAGAATTTGGTTTTCCTTGTTTACTTGGTTCATATTTTTTCTTTGATTTGTTCCATGTAAAATAGCATAGAATATCTGTATATAATGTTTATGTGAATTGACCAAAAACATTAGATTTTTGTCACATGAAAAATTCATTTTTGGTTATTATTACGGAAGTAATTATAAAATATGATAAAGTGTTGTGTTAATAAACTAATTATTAGTTTATTAATACAATACTTTAACATATTTTATAATTATTCCTCTGCCAATTGTTAAATAGCTGAATTTAAAATTTGTCCATATAATTACAATTTTGTCTCGTAATAAACATATAAGTTGTAATATTAATTGAAAAATAAACGAAACTATAATATAATTTGGACGAAATTACTCACATGGAATTAATATTGTATTATCAAAATCAGTTAAGTAGTTTTATAATCCATTGCGAACAAACTGTCGAACACAAGATATATTTATATAAATAAGAATAAATTATTTTAATTAAAACTTTATTATGATTATTTGATTACACTATATACAGATTATAAATAAGGTATATTAGTTTTTCTTTTGATTTGGTAATTTGAAGAATGACTTAAGCAAATTTTATTGTAGTTATAATATTACAGCATTACTCTTAAATGCAGAGGTGCTACTAATGAGTGGGTTTTTTCCTAAAAATATTCATGTAATATAAATATTCTTTCAATCAAAAAATGTACATATTGTTCTTATTTAAATATAGATTGTTAATATGTTTTATTAATAAAAAAAAAATAAATAAATAAAAAATTAAAATATATATTTCAAAGATAAACATCTTTTTTGGTTAAACTGGACTTGGATAGTAATCTCATCAAACACTACCACATCATGCTTTTTTAACTATGAAATAAAATTAAGTTTTTAGTTTAATTATTTAAAGTATTAATTTGTTTTAGGTTTAAATATTATTGGATCTTTTTTTTTAAGTTATGAAGATATTGAAGACATTCCACTGGATATAAAGCACCAACTTAAAAATATTATAAAAATGTCTGTTTACCTTTTTGTTGAATTTGTTCAGAGTTTTTTTCAAAAAATTGAAACTGATTATAAATTAATTTTACTTGAAACAAAAGTAACTCATTATTTTTACAAAATATAAATATTTAACCAATATTTTTTTTACTTATACTTATTTGTTTTTTTTCTTTTATTATTTTTAGGGAAGAAATAAAAAGCAAGATATGATTCAAAAACATATTTCTGATTATGGTTGGGACTGGGAAGATAAATTGAGTGCTGGGATAAAGGCAATTAATAGTATTTTCATAAATAATATAACTCAATTAAATGATCCACCTTATGTCGACCATACTTTAATTTCGTAAGTATAGTAAATTATAGCAGTTATTATTTTAAACTCAAACATTTTTTCTGTGTTTTAGATACATAGCTTCATGTTGTTATGTTCTGTTAGAAAATCCTAGTATAGCTTTTGTACGAACTAAACATTTGAGAAACAGCATTATGCAATTACTGATTGTTCTTATTACTGACTATAGCCATAGTCAGAATTTCAAAACCAAAGTAGTTCAAGTGAGTTTTGTAAAATAAATACTCTTCTGTCTATGTATTGAATAAAAATCTGTATAAATATAAATAAAATATATTTCATAATATGAAAAAAAAATATTAAAATTAACCAATAACTTATGTTTAGTTTTAAAATATTTAAATATGATATGATATTTTTAAATACTATTATAACAATGTATTCCCATTTTCACTTTGAATTAAAAAATTGTTAAAATTAATTTTTGTTGATTATGTAAAAGTAAAGAAAATTTGGTTTTTGTTTTACATAATTTTATAATATTAGTCTAATTATACTATAGAAATAATTTGCAATTAACTAATTATTAATTTACATTATGAATACTTATGTTATATGCATTCAACAGTATTGAAGCCTAGATATGAAGCAGATATTTTGAGATTATTTTATTCTTGCTACAATCATTCTTCTCATGACAAGATCTCATATCTGTTGAAAGCCTGTAATATTAGAATTCCATATTAATTGAAAATAGCTTTTTATCACAAAATATTTCTGGCCCATTTTCTTATTATATAAGTAATAATTATTTTCATGTCTTAGTAATATATCAATAATTTTAGTTGTTGAAATTATTTGAACACCTGTCATTACTTTTTGCCAAAATTGTAATACAAGTTGTCAAATCTAAAGAAGGACGATGTTCTTTAATTGAACTAATTGTTAAAGAAATTGCTGAAACAGGAAAATTAGAAGGTATTAAAGAGTCAAATAATCAGGAAGTAACTGGTGGTAAATCATGCTGTGCTTTTCTTGTGGAAATTGCCAAACATTGTCCTAAAATTGTATTACCAAATATTGAACATCTGCTTCCATGCTTAGAATCTGATGTTAGTAATATATAATTTATATGTTTATTATCTAAAAGTTATTTTATGATTATTTACTATATATAATATTTATATATTTTAAATTTATATTTTAGCCATATACTATGAGAATATGTGTTCTAAGTGTTTTAAAAGAAATTATCTGTCATGTTTTGAGTAATGATGAGGTAGATGAACTTGAAAAAAAAACAAGAGATAAATATTTATCAATCTTACAAGATCATTTATTAGATACTAATGCATTTGTTAGGTCTAAGGTAGGTATTTAAAAATGTTTTTGAAGTGAGAATGTTATTAAATCAGACATTTTCAGACATTACAGTTATTTATTGCCTTAATAAATGAAAACTGTTTACCAAAATACAAGTTTATATCAATATTAAATTGTGCCAATGAAAAATTACATGATAAAAGTTCATATGTTACCAAAAGTGCTGTTCAATTAATAAAAACATTAATCAAATTAAATCCATATAGTTGTGATGTAATGATTATATAGAAAATTGTAATAAAATTATGTGCTAATAAATAATTATTTATAGTTTACGGAAAACATTTTACAAGAAAAATTAGAAGAAGAAAAATTATCTTTAAATAATTTGAAACAAGCACTAGAAGAAAAATTAAAAGACACGCTTCCTGATGATGAAATGTGGTCATTAATTGAACCACCATTAAAATTGTTTTTAGCAGAAAATATTGAAGGTTAGTTAATTTAAAAACTTGTTCAAATCTGGTTTGAAAAATTATAGTATATTATAATTTAAAAGTTATATAATAATTAGAACTTATTCAGTTATTTTTTTTTTTTTAGCTTTACTGGCCATTTAGGCTTTTTGCTGCTGAAACTAAATCCTTCCATTTCCCTCTGTCTTTTGCCATATCCCAGTTTATTTCTCTTGATTTTATAAGTTTCATCATTGTCTCCCATACACTGTCTATCCATCTTTGACGTGGTCTCCCTAGTGGTCAAACGAGTTTGATGGAAAATGGAACGACTTTCATTTTTTCGTTTAAGACTCTTCAGTAGTCTCCCATCTGCTCGCCAAACATGCCCCATCCATTCTAGTCTCGTGCTCCTAACGAACTGTATCACGTTTTTTCTTTTAAACAGCGCCTTTAGTTCATTGTTTGATCTTATTTTCCATTTCTATTCTTCTTGACTATATATTAGTCCATATATATTAGTGACCTAAATAGGTTTGCTAGAGCAAAGTAACATCTGTTTGCTGCGGCCAGTCTTATATTTATTTCTCCGTGTATGTTATTTTGCTTGTCTAATGTCACTCCTAAATATTTAAAATCTCTTATCTGTTTGGACACATTATTAAAAATAATAATATAACGTTAAATCATGCAATAAAATTTCATGCAGGAACAAGTATTGATCACAATATAGTAAGGCTAATGTATTTTGATGCAAATCCTTTTCTGTGGAATGAATATTTAAATTTTAAATATAAAAACTTTTTCAATTTGTTTTATTAAAAATTAAAAAATGTATGTTGTGTATTACTTATATTTTTCTAGATATTCTCAATGAACCTAACATAGAAGAACATGTATTGAAGATAGTAGACTTGCCTGAAATTTTAAATAAAATTAAACGTTTAATCACTCTTCATAAATTTAAATTGGCTTCAAAATTCCTATTACATGGAAGAGCAACATTCAAGGATGAACCCCTATTCATGTACGTTTTATCAGTTTATTTAAAATCAGTTATTTTACACATTATTTTGTTTTAAATTTAAATCTGTAAAATAAATAATAAAAAACTTAATTGATAAAAGATAAATTAAGCTGTTTTTGGTAATAATGGTTTAATTAGTATTCCAAAATAAGAATAGTTCTGAGGTTAGGTTAAACATAAATTGTTTATATTTTGTGAAAAGTATTAGTTTTAGTGTATAATAAAAAAATTGTCTGAACATTTTATAAAAAGAATAGATATGTTAAGTATTATGTATGGATTGAAAAGTAATTGATATAAATATTAATTAATCAATTATAAAAATAAAATAAGTACATTAAAATGTACTCATAAAGTGACTAGAAAATGAAAATATATACAATAAATTAAGTATAATTTAGGAGTAATAAAAACCTTGAATTAAGTAGAGGAGGGAATAAGCTGATGGGATTCAGATTTATTATAAGAAGAATTGACACAAAAGCAATAAGATTTATAAAGGATTTAGGATATCATTAGAAGCAATACGAGGATGACTGATAAATTAAGCGTTAACCCTATATAGTGACTCAAAAGTAAAAATGTAGCTGATTTGTGAAATAATTTATTTGTTTAAAATTGTCCCTAAAGTCATTGCATCATTATTTAATTATCCATTACACAATTAACTATTTTAAAATTTGATGTATAAAATATTAAATTTTAGATTACAAGATAAAGAAAACTTATCAGAATATTTTTTTATACTACTTAAAAATATTTGGTGGAGTGAAAAATTGAAAATAAAGAACAATCCAGAAATTGAAAATTTAACTGCAGAAGAGTTAAGTCATAAAATATTTTCAGTAGAATCTAGGATTACATACCTTCAGGTACATATAAATATATATGTTTAAAATATAACAAATGCTTAATCCTTCTAATAAGTAATACATATTTAATTATTAGTATATGTCTCAATAAGATATTTTTTTTATCTTTAAGGAAATGTAATTACAATTCACTTGGATGTATTATATTAAATTTTAAATAGTTATTATCTTTAAAAAGATAATAATTTAAATTCAATAAAATATTAGGTTCTAGTTTCCCTATAATTTTCCTTATTAAATATCAAAAAATAATTTATTTCTAAATATTAAACCTGAATGGTGATTTTTCATATAGTGTTAACATATATTTTATGTACACTAATTTTGTTATCTTATATAATTTTAGGAATGTGCTGAGTATTCTAATACTATAAAAACAACATTAATTACAATAAATCAATTAATGTTTGGGAATACTAGTTCAGAATCATTAGAAGCTATTGACTTTTTTGCTACAGCTCATCTGTTTGGTGTACCTAATACTCAATTTGCAATTGATTCTATGCTTGCATTGATGTATTCATCAGATACAAATATTAAAGAAGCTATGATGAACACTTACAAAAAAATCTATCTGGATGTTGAAGAAAATAAGGATTCCTCAGATATACAAGCTGTAACTAATAATATATATTAGTAATAAATCACAATAATGTTTTATAATTTTTACTTCTAGGTTATGATGAAAATTTTAAATTTAGTAAAATCATTAAATGTTAATTATATAAATGCATTTAAAATTTTGCTTGACGAATGGATTAAAAATAAAACATTAAATGATGATTGCATTATGATATTATGGGCATGGCTTACTAAAATTGTTAATATTTCTCAAGAAGATCGCATAGTTGTTACTTTTCTTTTATCATTACTTGCCAGGTATACTAAAATATATTTTAATTTTTATAATAGATATATTAAGTATAATTATTTAAATGAACACAATTAAAAAAATGATTTTAAGCATAAACATTGAATATTGTTTCTTATACCTATGATTTTTACTTGAATTTGTCATGTAAAGTAAAAAAAAATTATTCTGCCGCATTACTGACCATTGAATAGAATATTAAAACTTATAAGTAGTATTATATAACCTGAGGATAATGATCTCATATACAAAGTCACGTTGGTCAAAAATAATAAAATGCTTATACACCTAACCTTTTATTTATATTTTTTTAAGTTAAAAGTTCATACTTAAAAGTTTAATTTTTCCATGAAAAACATTTGATAATTATTTGAATTTAAAACACTGAGTTATACATTGGTTTTAGTTAATATTTTTACTGTATATCAGCTTATAAGATTATGAATTAATGTATTTTATATGTTTTGATTGTTATCTGAATGGATAAAATCTTTTTGGTTAGGAATATACATACATATAGTTACTATAATATGGGTGAACATAATTATAACTGTTATAATTTTTAGATCAGATTGTAAAAGAATTGTTATAGTAGGGTAGTGTTGGTTAACCATAATTGCAACTCTAACATCAGTTCTGGAGCAAATTGGGCAATTTTGTTTTTCATTTTAATTAATTAATTTTAAAAGTTCATTAATAAGTAGTTTAATAGAATGGCTATTCTACACTATTCTACACTTTAAAATGTTTATTTAATGTTTCTTACAACACTTATTTAAAATAAACTCATTATTTTTACCTTACGACTAGATTTCAAAATAATATTTATAAAATTGAAAAAATATTTATGTTATAGTTGTGATTTTGGTTTATAAAACACAAGTATACATTTTTTATTACAGTGTAAAACCTTGCATTGCACAATCAAACTTAGACAGTCTCATTCAATATGGGCTATGTGATGACTATAATATATTTATCAACACATGTCAAATATTGAAACAAATCTCTGATGATGATTTTATTAGGTAATTATTATTATAAATTATTAATAACTCTCATTTTTAAATTGTTTGTTATTTGCAATAAATATCTAGATTAAGAGAAAATCATGAAATAGTGAATCAGATATTTAGTGTAACCTTAAAATGTTATAAAGAAAGTGATTTTCAAATGTTCAGTCAAGTTGCTTCAAATGCTGTTATTATAATTTATAAAGTAAGTTAAACTAGTCATAAATTAAAAATTAAAAAACCGTAATCAAGAAGTAAGTTTTGGTGTTTTTATTGGTTATATTATGTATATACATTTGAATTGCATTCTAGAAATAAAACTGAATTATAATTGATGTCAAATATTTATTTTTCTTTCTATAGTTTATAATTCAATTATATCAATATTTTAGTATAATATATATAAATATTATAATAGGATATAATTTTGCTAATACTTTTTCATAATTAGCTGGTTATAAATATAACCAGCTATTACTACTAATACTATTTACTGGCTTTGCTTGACATTTAATGATATTTATGTTAACAAAAGAAAATTAATTGTTAATGTATACGGAATATATATGTTATATTAGTTATAGTTATATTAGTTTACATTTTATATTTTAATCATTGACACTCAATATACCTTTTAAAACTGTTATTGATTGTATTTTATCGACTCATATTATATGAGTATCAATTATTGAAATATAAGTTTTATTAAAGATGTAAAAAAAGTGTGATCATTTTGACCATAGCACGACTAATAATTGGTTAAAATTACTATTCGTTAATTTATATTTCAGTTGACAACCAAACCAGATTGTACTTGTATGATGCTGATTGAAAAATGTTTCAAGTTAACTCAGATTAACAAAAATGGTAAGGAAATAATCATTTATATAGAAAACTTGATCAATTAACAATTTAAAAGTCAAGCTGAGTTTTGAAAATATTTATTGAATATTAAATTTGACTCTAAAACTTGAAGAACAGATAATTCCTTAATAATTTTCTTAGATATTTATTATTATTTTATTTATAACTGCAACTTCGATAAAAAAAATTAAAAAGGTCAAGTTTTTGATCCTGAAAAAGAAGAATGTAGTGTTTAATCAATACCATTTATTTTTTATAATTGAAGTATTGTTTATTTAATAACATAACTCCTAAGTTCTTATAGTGCTTTTTAAAATTGTGTATTGGAATTTCTAAGTTTATTAGAAAGGTAATTTATTGATTTCCTCTGTAAATATTTAATATACTCTATACTATAACTTCAAAAGTATTTCAAATTTTATTTTCATACTTAGTGTCTATATATTCTTATACAATTAATAAAATTACATATGATTAAGGCGGCATTTCTCAACCCGTGAATAGAATGCTAGTCTTAGGTAAATTATTTTAAAAAAGGTTGCATAAAAAATTGGTTTGTCTACACATAAAGAATAAAAACCGCTAGATTGGAGCTCATAAAAAAAAAAAAAAAAAATCACTTCATCTTTTATTATACTTTATCATTTTAATACTATAAATAGAGAGTGTTCTCAATAATAAATTGTTTAAAATTTTTTTTAAAAAAAAAAAAACATTAATTTAATAAAATATATTTCAACTAAAATTTATGTTTTAGATTCTTCCATACAAGAAGGAAAAGTTATGACTTTGGATATTAATTTATTTGCAAAATTTATTTTCATCATTGGGCACATAGCATTAGAGTAAATAAATAATTTTCCATGAATTACACATATTTCATTTTTATGATATACTTTGATTTTTAGACACCATAATTATTTGGAAAATTATGTTGCAAATGAATTAATTCGACGTGTAAAAGCTAAATATGAAGCTAAAAAATTAAAAACTCAAAAAAATAACGATGAAGTATTTAATATATTTTAATTATTTTCATGGTATTTTAAATATTATTCTTTGTAGAATGTGCATGATTCGGAAGCTATTGAAATTGAAGCTATAAATGATGAAATTCGTAATATATGCGATAGACATATTGTATCTGGAAATGGAATGTTATCTAAATTTTCGTAAGAATAAATTATCTATTAAATTTTAAAATTTATATATATATATATATATATGTGTGTGAATATATTTTTTTTTCTTCAGAGAACATGTTTTAAATTCATGCAAGTCAAATAATTTGCAACTGAGAGCAAGTGCTATTATTACTCTGGTGAAGTTTCTATCGGTTTCTACTACATTTTGTCAAAAAAATTTGCCAGTTTGGTTTTAATATAATTAATATAAAGTATAGGTGTATTAACTTATAGTATTTTTTATTTATTTTTTTTTTTTTTAGTTATTTATACACCTCATTGAAAATTCAGATGATTCGGAAACAAGTATTGATCTCATTACTGGGTTTGGCTTGTTGGTTTTTAAGCATCCAAATTTATTGGAACCATATACTGATAAACTTTTTGGGCGGTATGTACATTTAAATAATTTTATTAAAATAATTAGAAAAATAACAATTTTCGATAAATTGTAATGATTTAAGTATATCATTTTTTATTATAGATTGAATGATAAAGATAATAAAGTTCGTTATAGTGCTTTAATAACTATTGTAGATCTTTTACGTCAAGAAATTATTAAAGTAAGAGGTCAGATTGCTGGTATTGCCAAATTACTTGTTGATGAAAATGATAAAATTAAATGTATGTTTTTAATTTGATTTATAATTTAACTTTTATATAATGAAACTATTATTTAACATGGTTTATTCTATTTTTTCTTAGATACAGCTAGACAATTATTTGAGGTTTTTGCAGAAAAAGGAAATACTCTTTACAATGTTTTATCTGATATTATTTCAATATTAACAAATCCAGAAGACATGATTAAAGAAAATGACTTTCAGGAAATCATGAAGTATTTATATAATATTATAATACATATATTGATCTATAAAATAGTATTTTTACTTATTTTATATTCTTGATTTTATTCTTAGATTTTTACTCCCTTTGGTTAACAAAGAACGTCAAATTGAATCTATAATTGACAAATTATGTATGAGGCTAAAAGAATCTAATAATGATGAGCAAGAATATTATATATCTTACTGTTTACTGCTTTTCAAGTACACAGATAAAAGCTTAACTAAGCTTTCAGACAACTTGTCTTATTACAGTGAAAAATTAAGGAATCCTAAAGTTTACAATAATTTTAATATACTTATTAGTACAAATTCTAGATTAGCAAAACCAACAACTAAAGAAATATTATCTGAATTAACTGATAAAATTGAAAAAATAGTACAATATGAAGATTTTACTGTTCCATTGTCACAAAAATCACCTAAAAAACGTAATTATTAATAATTGTAAAATATTTTTTTCAATTAATAACTTTTACATTTTTTATTTATTTATTATAAAACATTTTTAAAAGGTACAAATACAGAGAAAAAAAGGACTGTTAAAAGCACTGTTAAGAAATATACAGGTGATGAAATAGAGCCATTGCAAACAGCAACAAGAGTTAGTTCTCGTTCCAAAGTAAAAAGGAAGCTATTGAATGATAATAAGGTAGAAGAAAACAATGATGATTGTGACAATTGACACAAATTAACAAACAAAATAACAAACAAAATAATTTTAAAATTAATTATTATTAATTGTTATTGATATTTGTAACACTATATTAATATAATTATTATTATACTTTACATTACTATATTAAATTTAACGCTTCATTAGAATAAGATTCATGGTAAATAAATCAAAATGTATTAAATTTGAAATAAAATATATAATGATGTGTAAATGTTTTTATAAATATTGATATTTTATTTTGTTGTATATTTATTTTTTTTTGTGTTCAAAATTGATTTTCACATTTCTGACTCCTGGGACCCTTATTGCTTATTTCAAACTATAATATATATTTGTTGTGGTAGAAGATGGGACATGATCCACCGTTTCGTGCTTCACAACGTTGAATACATGATTATACCGAGTACCTATTTTAGACCCTCATATTCTGAGCTCCTTCCCTCCCTCGTTAACACTCTCGTTCTAGTTCCTCTAGTGTTACCACGATGGCCTTTAATTGATATCACTCCACCGTGCTTAACATCCTCATCAGTTATTACTAAGCCACTGTCCGCTTATAGTCATGCTTCCTCTGGTCACAGAAATATGGTCCGTTGGACGCAGTGTCGTACTCATTTCGCAAGCCAGCCTTGTAGGGTGTAGTAAAATAACGTGTACGCGACCATGTTGTCATACCACCCATAATGTAAACAGCTAGCACCCAGGGTGATCGGTCCCTTTCTTGAATAGATAGATTTAAGAGCACACATGGTCTTTGTGATATCTGTACTTAGTTATTGCATTATTGAATTGCGTCTATGTTAAATTTATTTTTATGAAATATTTGTTGGTTGTTTTTTGGCTATTACAGTCTTCTACTAAATAATTAACGATATTTAAAGTCAATAATCTTAGCTATACAAGTATATGATACAGACAAGTTCTGGAATTATATGGCACGGGGTTCGCTCGTGTAGACTTGATATGATACGATCATTATGTAAAATCATCGCCACTCCCCCAGACTTGGCAGGGTGATGTTTTCTCGGAAAAATTTGTTAAAAATCAAATTCTGAATGCAGATCGTTCAAATCTCATAGACATTGGTAGAGAACCACATGCCAATAACCATATGTTTCTCAACTAGTCAATTATGGAATCTCGTGGAAACAGTAGAGGAAGTCCTAAGAAGTGATCCATAACGTTTTGAACATTCTGCGTTCGATATTTGGTTTATTATGACCTTGAAATGGGACTACAATATCCCTATTATCTTTACACACAAAAAGGTTTTGAATATGTAATAATTTTATTCATAAATAAATAAATTAAATTAAAATAACTAGATTGAGTCAAAAACCAAATAATGTTATTCCCATTTTCCCAACTATTGCCTTCGCGCACAAAAAATTTTTGAACCATAGGTATAATCCATAAACATTTGTAACCCATTAATGCTGTTTTTTACTCGATCGCAATAATTTTCGATTTTTATTCAGTTATGGAACTGTAAAGTTTGTAAGAGTAAAATCAGCGTGGCAGATGAAGGCGCTGGAAACGCGTAACACCATCATTATGACCTCTTCTATCGTGTCTATAGGGATGAGTATGAAATCGGATCGAAGTGTGCGACATAGCCCACCGTTGGACAACATTGCTTGCGTGCTAACAATTACGAATAAATTCTAAAAAATCGAACATCTAACTTTAACTTTTGAGAAGCATATGGTTGTATCCAGTAGCGTGCCGAATATAGGTCTAAATGATGCCCAGGCATCAAGTTACAAAGGGGTGGGTAGTTGTTGGATAATAATATGTATATAATATATTTATAATAATAATATGAATTTAAATATGGATGGGTGGTAAACTAGATTTTGCAATTGGCATCAAAAACATTTTTATCTCGGCACGCCACTGGTTGTACCTACTCCTTAAGACCTCTTCTATTGTGTCGATGAGATTTCAAAGTCCATAAACCACCATATGGACTACATGAGGGGTCGGTACATAATTTCGCCACATGATTGCGGTTTGTTTTTCGGATTAAGTTTCTGACCTGGTCAAATTTTAAAACAATATTTATCTAACATATAGACATTGTTTCTGAGTACATTTGGAGTCGAATGGTATATTTTTGAAGATTATCGGATAAAATTTCGATTTTTGGCGAATTTTTAAAATGTTGACAACAGGATCATAAAAAATAAAAAAAGTTGTTAAATCTTAAACCAAGAATTGAATAGAGGTGTACAAGAAACACAGGGCAAAAATACGGTTTTTCGTAAATATTGGGATTTGTGAAAAAAAAATATGAATTAAAAATGTTTTAAAATCAGAATTTAAATGACGTGGAAAAAAGTTTGGAAAAATCCGTTTAATATTGAGTGAGTTGGGCGTGCCGTACGGGCAGAGCTCTAAAGAACATTTTAAAACATATTTAAGTAAATACACAAATACAGTTTTTTCAAGTATTTGTTACTATTCAAATACTTTGATTGTATAGTATTTTAAATACTTAAAAAAAATCTTTGGAATAAGGATACGAAGGATATCATACTTAGCATTTAAGAACAAATTAAACTGTAGGCTACAAGCATGAAAAACCTGTGTGAGAGGATGATTTGATATATTTTTTAAAAGTGTTGCAATGACAATTTAAGAAATGCCACTGAAAGCGATCAAAGAAGCCAAACTTAAGACACTTACGTTGATCACTGAAATAGATGACAAATATTAAACTCATCAAAAACTACCTTATCAAATACCACCAGATTATAATAATATGTACCAATGTCAACTGAGTTCCTCAGCCAATTCATACAGTACCTCAACATCGTCACAAGGGTTTTTTCCGTTGAATTATGGTGATGAGTCTTAACCTTTTTTAATTTTAAATAGTTGTTGCTTATAATAAGTTAATTTGTTACCGATTACTTTTTATTTACTTTTGTTATATTTTAAAATGCATTTGTTTTTATTCAATTTTGTTTGTTGGTTTTATTTAGAAACAATAAATTAACCTAAAGACTGGTTTAAATTAAAATATATTTTGTTGTTATTTCCAAGAAGTTTAAGTAGTACTACTCTGGAAGATTGGCCTTTTCTCTGAATTCTTCGTAGATTGTACATTCAGTTAAAATGTGCTTGATGCTCAGTTGGGCTCCGCAAGATGGACAAATGAGCGGATCCTCTTTATTTATTTGGTAACTGTGAGATGTATACGCGAGACCAATGCGAAGCCTGTTTATTTGGATTATATGGAACGTTTTTTTTTGCATATTTTATTATTTTTAGTGCATATTTAAGCGCTTATATGAATATTTTTTAAATTTTTTAATATTTTTTATATTATTTAAGCGCTTATAACAACCTTTTTAAAAGCTATAAGTTATGAGCTCTGCTAATGATAATCATAATAGTAACGATTTTGTAATCGCCGGACGAGAGTCATAGTCACACTACAACTGTTTGTCCGACGGACACGTTTATTCGTGTATTTTATAATATTTATATATACAGTGTGTATTTTATTTTATGATTTATACAATAAACGATGTTTTAATACTGCGAGTGCTGAAAGCTTCGGCAAATGTCGGTGTTCAGCACTAAACGTTTTAATCCGGTTCGTTACTCCAACTGATATGGATAATAAATAATAAAAAAAAAACTGCAAAAATAATTTACGGGCCTGTCCGGGATTTGAACCCGGGACCTCTCGCACCCGAAGCGAAAATCATACCCCTAGACCAACAGGCCGTGTTTGGGTCATAGAAAAACTTTCTGATTTAAGAGAATGCTACATCAATAGTAAAATATACAAAACGAATACACGCAATTAGGTGTATAACGTTAAAAAAAATTAATAGGTTTCCAAGTTTAATATATATTGATGATATTAATAAACTATTCGCATATATTATTACCAATATTTATAAAAAGACTATTTGGATTATGTAAACATTACTAATTCATAAATTTCAGAAAAATTTTAATATTGCTCTACTATCATTTTATTAGATTTCTTAATCCGAAATTGGGTTCACTTGGTTTTCTGGAGCAATTTTATTGATCTACCATGAATTTTGGTCGAATTTTCCAAGTAAGTGTTATATATTTAATAAATAAATGTATATGTTACGGGCAAAGTATACAATTTGGGCATTTTATACATTGTCCGGACAGTATATAAAATGCCCTTCGTATATTGGGCATTATAGATAACGAATGATATGATTTAATGAAATGTGATAAATCGTAAAACAGTTAAAATAAAGTCAAATTATTATCTAAAAATTATTTTCTGTAACTAATTTGTTTGTTCTTATCGTATTTTTACAATGAGGATGTCCACTTGTCCACATACCTATTATACGCATGTACGTGACATAATATATTATTACTATATTTACTGATTTATAAGTTATATTATATGAAGTTGTAGTGATTATCGTCTTTTACCTATTCTCAAAAATGAACTATTTAGTAACCGTGAATCGTTTGTATAGTGCAGGTTGATTCATTCAGTGCGTACCTAACTGCTTATTCGAATATGGAAAAGTTTAATGAAAATTTAAACAATTTTTTTTTTAAAAAAAAGGTTCAAATACTTCATTTTTTACCAAGTTAAAATGTGATCAATTAATTTTAAATAATAATCAATTATACAACAATCAAAGAAAAAGGAACCGAATGATTATAAACTTTTAAAAAACTATGATGTGTTAAAAGTTTCTGATGTTAATAAGTTAATTGTACCAGTATCTGAAAACAACAAAATTAAATATTATGTACATTTATCAATTGGACATGGTGGACGAAACAGGATGGAACACGAGGTAAATACAAAATATAAAAATATCACCAGAGATATAATTATGCCATACTTAAATAGTTGCGAATCATGTAAAAGAAAAGGAAGCACAGTCAAGAAAGGATTGGTGGTGCACTAAATTATATCTACTGAGATGAATTAATCAATAATATAAATACATGTCATTATTCATCGATTTATCATATTTCATTAAATCATATCATTTGTTATCTATATTGCCTAATATTCGAAGGGCATTTTATATACTGTCCGGACAATGTATAAAATGCCCAAATTGTACACTTTGCTCGTAACATATATGTACAGTGTGATCACGGTTTAAGGTAACATTAAATATCTCAGGTGGATGACCTTGTATTGAAGCGAATATTTTAGAGTGCTTAGGGGGTACTTAAATACACATTTATTTATGAATTTCAAATTTTCAACACTTTTGGTGTGCGCATGCGTAACACAACTTAAATTTTTTTGAATGGAAACACTATTTTTTACATATTCGGATAGATTATTTCTTTTTAAACGTTTTTTGTATAAAAAGTTTTTTTTCTATTTACAAAATTGACCAAGTTAGAATAAGTCAAGATTTAAATTTATGCATAAATCGTGTTTAATGAAATTTTCATTTATAACTGGAAATAATAAAATAAGTATGAAATAATTAAAAATAATTTTTAGTCTACGATATTATTTTTAATTTAATCTATTGTATTAATTAAATTCATAACAAAATAGTTATAATGATAATAGTAATATTAATATTATAATACTAAATAAAATAGATTAAATAAATCTATCTCATGAATTGTTCAAAGTTTTCGCCATTATGCTCTAAACATGATTCAAGTCACCTCAAAAATTCAGTTGAAGTTGCCGCATTGATTTAGTTCTCACTTAAAATATCACATGCCGCCTGTATTTTGTTTTTTAAGTCCTGAAGATTGACAGGTGGATCTGCATAAACCACAGTCTTCAAATATCTCCATAAAAAAATCCAGTGGCGTTAAATCAGGAGATCGTGCAGGCCAAGGAACGATACCATAGGTACCAATCCAGCGGTTCGGAAATATTTGATTTAAATATCTTCTAACAGTAATTACATTATGAGATGGTGCTCCGTCATGCTAGAAAACATTCGTTCTCGTGTTTCTAATGAAACATCATCCAAAATTCTTGGTAGTTCGTTGGTTTAAAAATTAAGGTATCGTCTACCATTAAGCGTTCCATCATAAAAGAACGATCCTATTAGCTTTCCACCAACTAACCCACACCATACATTTATTCCCCAGATCGTTTGGAAATTAGTCTCACGTGACCAGTGTGGGTTTGTGTCATCCCAGTATAGATGATTTTGTTTATTCATAATGCCATTGTTTGTACATTTTGATTCATCACTCCTAACAATATGATTGACTATTAAAGGGTCATCAAAAAATTTAACATTGAACTAAGCTATAAACTCTAACCTACGAATTGAATCTCCTGCACGCAAATGTTGGACGAAATTGATTTTATATGGATGCATTTTGTGTTTTTTTAGAATTTTTTGAACATAACCATATGAAACGCCAATTTCGCGAGCAACATGCCTAATTGACGAACGTGGATTAGCTCTTATGTATGCTAGTACCTGTAACTCTGTATCGTCATCAAACATATCTGCTCTGCATCTTTGTTGGTTGATTTGTATGCCGGGAAATCACATATTGAATATAACGAGAAAACAATTAATATCTAGGATTATTACATTAAACTCAAAATTAAGTATTCTTATTGATGAATATACTAGCTTAAGTAATAAAACTACTCTGGTAGTTTTATTTTACTTTGTTATATAAATTAGGCTAAATCCCGACACCAGTTTCTCTTTAGCCTTTTCGATGGGTTTTCTAGGATGGTATTTGAATTTTGGATGGAAAGTATTAGGGGATTTGGATGGTTTGCAAAGCGTGCACGTAAGAGTTTGTATGATGAAGTGGATGTTTCAGTAATTATTGGTACCTACGTTTAAATCTGTATGCAGTGTATGGTTTGTGACATAGAAAAGAGCTTTAGTAATGATTCGTAATGCAGTGGATTGGAAAGATTGTATTTTGTAAATATTTGATTTTTCAGCGGCGCCCCACAGCTGAGAGATATTATTAATTAATTAAATTATTAGCCCTTACCTCAAAAACAAATAAAAAAGATAAACAGTAGACTTTACCTACTAAGGTCCACTAAGATTTAATATCAAAATAAAATTCTTATTTACAAATGTCTTCTCCGTCCCATTTCGACTCACGGCATCATACTCTGGGGCTAAAAAACAAATATTCAAACGATTCCAATCTATTTATCTGCGTATCACTGCTAAAAATTCTTAGTACGTAAGGAACAAATATCTCCACGATGACCTCCAAATCAAAACCGTCCACAACACAACCATCAATTTTTGCAAGAGGTTTCATGAAAAACTCCATATGAACCACAATCATTTCAATCGAACAATTTGCTCAAAGATACTTCCGGACAAACCCAAAAGATGTCTTAAACGCAAATGGTGTAGAGGATCTTCTCAACGTTTAAAATGTATTTTATTGTTAATACATTATCTTAAATCATTGTATAAGGTGACTCAACTGCGAGTCTTACTTCAAGTTATTCAAAGCCATTTTTAAATTTGTGACCACATCACATTTACTTTATGTATTTAATGTACAGATTGTAAATTTTTAATAAACGACATTAAATAATTAAATAAAAATAAAAGAAATCAGAATTGTTCGTTGCGAAATTATTCATAAACGAAAATAAAATTCGCATCGATATATCTAATGTAGTGCAAGGTTGTAATAATAATGCATGCAATCAACCATTTTAATAACTACTTCGCTTTATTTAAATCATATGTTGAGAGGCTTAGGCTAGGTTAAAAGCGTGGTTGTCTAAGAAAAAAAAATTCCAAAACTTTACGGGCCTGTCCGGGATTTGAACCCGGGACCTCTCGCACCCGAAGCGAGAATCATACCCCTAGACCAACAGGCCTTACTAGGATAATGATGAAAATATACCTATTTAACGTGAACATCAAACTGGTGATAACGTCTACTAGCGTTATATTGATAAAGTGATAACATAGTAGTATTCTTATTGTTTCTTCTCCGTGTAAACTAAAAAAATTTAGATCGGCTTACCGTATACCCAGTCGGCGCGGATCTCGGATGACGAGTCCGACGTCCGATTTCTTTTACTCTTCCGTCTCATGTGTCGCCAACGCGTGTTCTTAACAATACCAGCGATCTCATCCACTGTGCAGGAACAAAATGCTGTATAAAATATTCCATTTGGAAGTCGTAGATTTAAACTCGGCTATGCTCATAACTGTGTCCGCTCTAGTTGTGGGATATGTATGGACATGTTTCCGGGCGTCGCGTAGACAAAAGATGCTCGAGTTAGAAACCACACCGCATCGGGTGTTGCTGATCACTGCGCACCCAGACGATGAGTGCATGTTCTTTGGACCGGTTATTCAAAAGCTGTCGAAAATGGAAAACGTACAGTTATACCTAATGTGTCTGTCTGTCGGTAATTTATGATAGTAAATTTTATCGATGGCTATTGGCTCTTTGACGTGATTCACATCCGGTCACTGATCTTTTTTTTACAGGTAACTTTGAAGGCAAAGGTTCCTTGCGCAAAGACGAGTTGTATCAGAGCTGCAAAATATTGGGCATCGATGAGGGTAATATTTTGTTGTGCAAGTGAGTATATTATATTTAGTTCCATCACTCAGAGCAGTTTCCTAATCTCACACAGTTTACATTTGTGACGGGTTGGTTGCTTTCAGAAATACTTTGCTTCCGGATAACCCTCGTGTGGACTGGGATACAGTTTTACTTTCTGACAAGATTACAGAGCATGTAGAACAATTGGAAATTGATACTGTATTAACATTTGACAGTTATGGTGTCAGTGGTCATCGGAATCATGTATCTATATATTTGGCAATGTTTCATTTGGTTTATAATAAATTGCTTCCAAATTGTAAGTATATGGTACTATAGAAAAAAATAAGTTTTATTACAATTAATATGTTTAAAATTGTACTAATTTAATTTTAATTATTAAAATTAAGATTGTCGTATATACTCACTGGATTCAGTCAATATTTTACGTAAATATGTTAAATGTATTGATCAATTATTCAACAATACATCAGACTTTAAGTGTTCCATTTCAACCACTGAACAATATAATTTAAAGGTAAATTATTAATTTTCATATTTCATAACTAGATTGTATATGTGTTATTTTTTGTATTTCAGAAAGCCATGCAAGCTCATTGTTCCCAGTACATTTGGTTCAGAAAATTATATATGAAATTTTCTAGGTACACTAGAGTCAACACATTCACAAATATTTCAGCAGAATAATTTTTAGTTTAAATTTTAATTACTTAGATTAATCAAAAAAAAAAAAAAATTGTTTTTATTTAATACATTTAGTTAGTTGATGACTGTGATAATGTGATTACTATAACAGTTTTATAACTTGTTGTATAACTTTTTTGTTTAGGTGTTTTTTTTTACTATTGTTTATCTTTTCCCTTTTCCAGTTTTTTTCGTTTTTCTTTTTTGAAAAAAAATGTAATTTATGATTATATTATCAAATGTATAATTGAAGTAAATTATAATAGTAATTTTGTTTTCATTTATTAGGATCTCACACCCTTAAAATAATATTTGTTAAGACTTGAAAGTTTTAAATATAATTAAATATTTATCAAATGTAGTAAAAAGGAAAAAAAATGGAAATTTATTAAACATAAGATTAAAAATTTGGAAAATTGAATAATTTAAAAGTAACATACTTTTGTTTTAGGAAAAGTTAGTATTATTATTAGACTCATATATTTTTAATTTTATTTTGGGTCTAAAATACTGAGTGTAAAAGTATTCGTGTATTATGTTTTAAGTAATTATACATTTTTCTCAATAATTTTGTATTTTTATTGATAAATCAACACTTGCATATTATTCCTTTATGATTTTAAAATGTATTACGAAAAAAAAAAAATACAACAATAGTAATAATAATAAATATTTGTTCACTTAAATTTTAGTGACAGAAAGGCCTGTTTACTCACAATTATGCAATTAGAAAGCGATGGTCTGGTCTACCAAAAAAACTTTTGGATTATGATAAATGCAGTCATACGAAAATCCAGGTGAATCCAAAAATTAGCATTACTTAGCATAAATAGTTAATTAGTTAATATATATATTAGTTAATATAGTTAATTAGCATTAACACGGAATATTTCAAATTTTTTTGGAGTATAAGTCAATGCCAGTACAGTTAGAAATTGTTTGAAAAATAGTGATTACAGTGGTCAAATACGTTGTAAAAAATATTTTGCGATTATAAAATAATAGACTAAAGAGAATTGTTTTTGTATGAGATAATTTACATCACTCTGTTAATGTTTAAAACAAAGTAATATTACAGATGAAAGTAAATTTAATATTTTTGGCTCAAATGGAAGTTGTTATGTATGGAAAAAAGTGAATGCAGAGGTAAATCAAATAATTTACTAACTACAGTTAAATACATAGGAGGACCCATAATAATTTAGTGTTGTACGAGTGCCCAAGTTGTGGGAAACTTGAATTTTATTGACAGCATTATGAATCAAGACATTTATGTAAATATTTTGATGACACATCTTATAGCCAGTGCTGAAAAAATGAGCAATTCAATTCAAAGATGATTTTGTGTTTACACAAGATACTGAAAGAAAAGTTGAGGTTTGGTTGTCTCAAAATTTAATAGAATACTTTGCTACACAATTAAAATCTGAATCATAATGGAAATTTGTGGGACCATTTGGACTAGAAAATTCAAGAGCATAATATTTCAAACAAAAAAAAATTACTAAAAGAGGGATGAAATAAAATAACTGCAGAAACACTATTTCATCTGGTTGATTTAATGTCTAGAAGACTGGAGGCTACCCTAAAAAGTACTAAACAGAGCTTTATAACAATTTAATATGTTTAATATACATATATCTATTTATTTTGATAGAATTATTAGGAGTAAGAATATTTACATCAGGGGCGTATTTAGTGGGGATGATATGGGTGTTGGAACACCCTCCCTATCGACTGTATTTTATGGTATTTCACCAAATTGCAAACTTAATTATAGTATAATTTAACTAAACGTAGGTATATGTAAATATAAAAATTTATATAAATACATTGTATTTATAAATGTAAGAAGTAGGGGGCAGAACCCCCACTTACTATAAGTCTATTACATTTTAAAACATCCCCGTTAAATGAATCCTGGATACGCCACTGATTTACATGTTATATTTATTTTAATTATTATTATTATTACTGTTGTTATAGTTTTTTATGGTTTTTTTTTTTTTTGAAATACATTTAAAAATTACTAGATGTTAATATGCAAGTGTTAGTTTATCAATAAAAATAAAATATTATTGAGAAAAATGTATATTTAATTAAAATCATAGTGTTCGAGTACTTTTCACACTCGCTGTATAATACATTTAATAAAAGACAAATTAAAAAATATGTGTAGTAATTTAATTTATTTTAAGATACAAATTATAAAATCAATTTATTTATCTATAAAATGAACTTGGTAACAGTTATTTAAAAAATTATTTTTTAAAACATATCTATTTTGTTACTATCGAATAAGTCTTCAAACTATGGCATGCAAAACAAATTTTAACTGGCACTCCAAAAAACAGTTAATATTCAAAGTCTTATTGCGCACACTTATAAACTATCACCTGTAGAAACTGTATAATAATTTTGGATATACCTGGTATAGAGTATGGATAAATAATTTATTTTGAAAATGAGCTAAGTATATTTGTTAGTTCTTTTAATAATATAGAATAAAATATTAGGTTGATCATGTAATGTCTAACACACCAAACTAAAATAATACACTATGTTTTATGTTAAAAACTCAAGTGTTCTTTTGAAAGTCATTAGTAAATAAAATTACATATTAAGAACGGTTACATTTGCAATGGTGAATTACATAAAATCAAAAAAATAACATCATTGAAAAAATAAAATTAATTTTTTCATTTTTCAGTAGAAATATAACATACATGAAATGGTAATAATTAACATTAATTTGTTTTTAAATTGAAAATAACTTTTAATTGTTAAAATATAATTTTCATACCTTAAATGTTATTGAAAATTAAGAAAAGTTTTCTAATATATAATTTATAAATAAAGAAATAAAATAGAAACATTTTATATTACTCGCTGTGATCATTATTACTAATTTTCAAAATGAGCCACAGGCTTATTCTTTATTAACTGTTTTCATTCTAATTATTTTCAATTAAAATAAATTAAGACTAAATTTATTTTTATATTTTATAGATAACATTCCAATTATTTATAAATAGTTTAAGAAATTAAAAATCTATATTAGTTGAAGTTACTTAGAAATCCAATATTTTAATTTTTATTTCATAATTCTAAGTTGTAGATTAATAATTTAATAATAAAATATAAAACATTTTATTAAACTTATGACAGTTAAATGAAATTCTTTGATTTGTTTGATTCAAAGTAACTCTGTAATCGTGTTAAAAAAAAAGTCGACCTCAGAAGTAAAAAAGTATTCAATTGTTCAGTTTTTATTTTTAATTATATTGAGAAAAACATTTTAATAAATATTTTAGTAAGGTTGATACATGTTCTCAATCATTTATTTTTGAAACGTACACCTATAATTGAATCATTCTTGGTTGGGGTTTAATAAACATTTCAATGTGATAAATTAATTAAATATAAAAATTTATAATTATCTTTATTATTCAATAGCTTTAAATAGCTTTAGTTCATGCTAAAATCTAAAATTGTATAATAGAAGAAATATTTTAAATTTTAGAAGAAACTAGAAAATAGTTTTCATTAATTGATAAGAATTATATGAATCACTAATTAACATAAATTAGTAGTTATATTTTGTTTAATATTGTTACTCATTTGATATGATTTCTACCATCAGGTTAAGGTGATGTCCATCATAATAAATAATAAATTAATTTCATGTTAAAAATGAATCAATTATAACAAAATAAGCATTAGGTAACATTAAAGTGAATAGAATAAGTGATTATGTATTTTTAGTATTAAATGAGAACCCTGTCTAAAATTAACATTATTATTAAAATAATATAAAAATATAAAAATATATATTTATATTATGTTTAATTTATGATGTAATATAAATTTAAATTATTCCACTGGAATTATATTTGTGATCAAACTATTGAGAAAAAATGTAAATTATTGTTTATTATAAATTAAAATTGGTTTATTGAAATTAAAAAATATGTGTAACAAATGGGGACAAAAAATATGGAAAGAACCATAAAACAACATATTAGATTAACATATTTTAAGAGAAACATAGTAAGAATATTAAGTAATTTTACTGAGTTGGCGAAAATGAAGTGGGATGTAATATTTTTGATTGCATTTCTTTAATCAATGGTACTGTGTATGCAACACACTCATCCCATCCTGGAGACATCCAAGCAGCTTGTCTAGTTTGTGTACGTACTTCTAAGTTTTTATAACCTTAAATATAAGAAAAATATTTATTTTGTTTCTTGATTTTAATCAGCTATTTTAATACTTACACCAAAAATGATGAACATTATAGAGACGACCAACTTGAGAAAAGAAGCCAGCAAATGGCTCATCGTTTGAACGTCGGTGATTAATTGCACGCGCCCAGTTATTACCCCATTCTATCATAGTACCTGGTTTCAAACTATAACTACGGATCTCATATATATTAGAACCTGATTTAAATTCAATATTAGGCCAAAAACTGAAAGCTAACATGTATTGTAAATGTCTAGAACGCAAAAATGGTCCACGTTGATTGCATAATTTTGTGTATTCCTAAAACAATAATTGATATTTATGTCACAAAATCATCATAGTAATCTTCAAAACAAAAAAATACTAACTTGGTTATTCAATAAGATATCATTGGTTTTATCAATCGCTGCATAACCACCTTGATGTTTCCACAAATGTACGTATTGGTCTAAATCACCTACATGGACAGACCAAGAACCAATGAGTTCATATTGTAAATTGGGTATTTTTTGACACAACTGGACAGCCTGTTCACTAGATTGAAAACAAAACAAAAATGGATCAAACGTTTATTACCGGTCAGATGGATGATAAGCAACTTTACAGTGTTAAAGGGCTTTTTGACAAATTATATGTAACTTACTAGTTTTTCAAATAGCCATCGATGGAATCGGGCCGCACGTTGTGCGTTTGCAATTCATATATCACTTCTTTGTCGGACAACATGCGGGAGTGCTGTTCTTTGGTCGGCTCTATCCGCCGGACAAGTAATTTCTTTAGCCAACCTTCGTTGGCATTGTTTTCCGCGTCGCCGGCGGGCTGATTGCTCTTGCAAGTGGCTGGACTAGTGGACAAACACCTGGAAATATGGTGACGCACACGGCGATTGATACAACGGTTTGGATACGGACTCGGCAGTTAGCGAACGACTTACCTGGATTGCGACGGGACCGCGGCGATGTGCTTCGCGCACGATACCACGTATCGTTTCATCACGGAATTGAACATTTCCGGTTTGCGCGAGTACGTTTGTTCGACAATCGACGGCGGTCGGAATGGTGGTGGCAAGTAGCTGTCTCGTCTTCTGACCGACGGAAAAGCGGTCGTCTACGGTGCGCCGAACATCGGCTATTGAGTTATTCAATCGTGTCGTATCGTCATGACCGTCGCCGCCGGCTGCTGCTCGTCCTCCCGTGTGCCGTGTGCGTGACGTCGTGCACGCTATCAACGCGCCGCCGTCGCCTGGCCGTGATAACGAATTTATTTATTTTTTTTTTAAAACGCCCTGAGGCTTTATTATTTGAACGACCCAAAGGTCTTTCCAAATATGTTTGACAATTATACATATTTTATATACTAGATAAAAATTATATATATATATATTACACGTTGATGGAGTCACTTCCAATGAAGTGCCTCCTGTCTTAATCTAAAATCTTAAACTAGGTCGTATGGTTTCAGACGCTTAAGACGTCTGATATCCTTGAATAGTTGGATAGCCAATGGATTGACATGGTGATCTAGTCTTGTCTCGTGTTTGCGAGCAAACCTTTGAATTTCGTCTGCTACTGTAGGAAGCATCATATCAAGGTGAATTGTGTTTTTTCTCTCGAACCGGTAGGCTGCAGTCCGAAGAGCAATGTTTTGACAGCGTTGTATTACATCGATGTTAGATTTACTGGCACAACCCCAGGGGCGTAACCAGTAGGTAGGCCTGGTAGGCCCAAGCCTACCAGATTTTTTTTAGAAAAAAAACCAATAATATTTAGAAAGGAAAATAAATGGAAAATTTATGAATAATCCATAAGCTGTTATTGACGAGCTTGCTGTCAAGAAGATTAGAATTTTTACTTCGAGAATAAATTAAAAATGCGTGTATTAATTAATATTTATAATTGTATTTCGTAAAAGTCTCATATTTAAGGTAGTTACTTAAATAAAAAATGCATTTTTTGAAACTATCTATTTATTTTTTCGTTCAATTTGTTATTTATTTTTTCAAGTTATTTATTATTCAATTGTTTATAAGAATTGACAGATAAATAAGAATCATTGACAACTTTGAAATTATGGTAGGCTAATATAAAAAAATCGGAAAAATTCCCATTTCCGTCGGTGAGTAGTTTTATAGTGGGCCTACCCAAAAGAAATATCCTAGCTACGCCCCTGCACAACCCCACAATTGATTGCCATATATCCATATATCCAGATAGGTTATAGGTCTTATAATTGCTACATACAGTAGACGTTGGTTTTCGATGGTTAATTCGGAGTGAGGTCTGACTAACCAATAAAGTTTTCGCATTTTTTCTTTAATCAGAATTTTTTTCTGACGGATGGTGTTTCCAGTTTAGACGAGAGTTAAGGTGTTTTCCATGATGATAACGAAATGTATGGACGAACAATTTCCGATGCACGTTCTCTTACCATTGCGGTTCGCGTTCCGTACCAATCCGTCCTATGGTGTAACTATCAGAGGGCTAAGCGAAATAAACAGTGCCTCAGAGCCTCGGAGCACAGTGGACCTTGGACATTCCTGAGACTATATTTCCTTTAAATAATTGACGATGTTGACGTAATTAACAGTAAATTTCTCAATCGTCGTATGTGGTGATTCTAGTTACAATCACTAAGTAAGTATTACGGTAGAACAATAATTCACACAATATGCGATGTGTTCTTCATAGTAATAAACGGGATTTTTTTTTTTTTACCTTTAACATCTATTAATTATCTGTTGATTATTTTTATTCATCGTTTCATATTTAAAAAAAAAATGTGTTGGTATACTTTGAATTGTCATATAAAAATTATGGTGGCCTAGTTTACTTACTGCACCGGGGTCCTTTCCTATGCATATATTACGCTACTTTGTATCACAGATGACAATACAATTTAATATGTTAAATGAGTGCTTAGAATTTTTTTTTTTTTATAAAATCAGATATATATATAATTGTATACAAGATAAACATTTTAAAGTATATATATTTAGTGATTTCAATCCACCTTCTTCAAGTGTCGCTTTTGTTGGATATTTAGAGTTAGGATTAGTAATGAGTATATATTTTAACCTATGCCAGTGTTCACATAGCATTACTATTAGTTATTACGCGTTCCGTAGGCACTTCACCTAGTGGTTTAGTGACTGATTTCGATGAAAAATCTGGTTGTGGTGAAATCCTCAGGGCCCCGTTTAAAAATACCGACCCAAAAAATTGTGTGGCTCACACTCCACCCCTCCCTCCTACCGGTATATATAAAACCTAATCAATGCAGGTTATCCTAATACACTAGCAAATAGGTTGTAAATTTAAAACGTAACCATTATTTTGATGGTTGCCCGATTGAGTACTAATTACAAATTTATAATTTGATACTTAAAAAATATATTGTACCTACCCAATAAGATATATTTGATTAGGTATACTAACTATGGGCCAACCAAGAGCTTTCTCAACACCAGAAGCTATGTGTTCTCGTGGTGCAGCACGTTAAGAACGCCTTTATCTCTGCTTCATGAGAACACATGCCATCCTCAGAAGACACGGAATTTCTCATTACCTGGTTCGAATGCTGCGCTCCTACGTGGAAGACAGAAGCATCACGGTGTCAATACCGGACGGAAACGAAGCAGATAGGGAATTCATAGATGACGTTACATAGGGGTCAGTTCTGGGGCCCTCTCTAAGGAATGTCTTCTCAGATCCGAGGTGCCAGTCGGAACACAATTTATCGGCATCGCTGATAACTTGGCTATTGTGGCAGTTGCTCGAACATCAGATGCACTTGCTGACTCAGTAAATTACACTTTATCGGTCGTTGATCGGTAGATGTTTAACCACGGTTTACAACTGGTTCACCATAAATCGGAGGCTATTATGTTGACGAAGAAACGTGCCTTTCGTGAGCCAGTGCTTAGAGCTGGAGATTTTACCATCCCCATAAGGAGGAGCCTAAAGTATCTGGGTATGGTCCTTGACTCTCACCTAACCTTCTCCGGTCACTCACGGGCAATTTCCAACAAAGCCAGTATAACGGCCAGTGCAATCAAACGGCTCATGCCGAATATAGGTGACCCAACTCAAATGAAGCGTGCTCTTCTCATGTCGGTGGTGGATAGTAAGCTCCTTTACGCTTTCTCCGTTTGGGTGGACATGACGATGACCTGGAAATGATAATGACCCCAACAGTCGTCTCCATCAGAGCAACTCAAGCCTTTTATAAGATGGTTGAGGACATCCTGGCCCAGAAGGAGTAAGATGAGAGGGAATATGAGGCAGGAGGAAGAGCAAACCATTAGATCTAGTATACCATTGTAACGCGGTGGCGACCTTACTATTTCAGTGAGGTTATGTATGTATAAAATCGATTCTTTCAATTAATTATGGGGGGCCGAGTGATAGCATTGTGAAAACAGCACCCGCTCGGTCCTCTAATCAAACAGGGAAAAAGAAGTAATTTTAAGGTTTTTTAATAGCAAAATAATAATTTTTTTAAAATTTCTCAAATTCTGAATTAACCTGTGGACTCTCCAAAAATGTTGTATAGTCTTCATTGATAAATGGGCTATCCAACACAAAAATAATTCTTGAATTCGAACCAGTAGTTCCTGAGATTAATACGTTCAACCAACAAACTCTTCAGATTTTAATATTATAGTATTATAGTACCTGAAATCGTGATCACACTATATAGTACGCTATTAGAGTGGAATATGGTAGTGAATAATTATAACTATTCAGTTTATTATATCTTTGAAGGATTATGCACTCTTCCAATTTGTCTATGTGGTAATACACTAATAAATAATAACAATATAATAATTTATACGTCTATTAATACTCTATATTACTATAATATACTATAATACTTACACATTTATTTTCATAAAATATGTAAAGGTATTAAACAATTATGGTTATATACATTTTTGTCCTCATTTAACTAATATAATTATGTAAAACGGTTTATTACACGCACCACTTGGCACTTATTACATCTCTTATGTATGTATGAGGATATTATTTTTGCTTAGATTGAAAGATCTAATGTACTAACTTAACATGGTATTTGGTACATGATATTTAAATTATAATTATTTGTTTGTATAATATTTATTAATACCTACTGTATAATGATCATACATAAATGTTCCATTAAATATTAAGTAATTTTATTTATTACTCAGTACAAAAGATAGACTTAAATTAAAACGAAGAATATCCATATGAAAACTAAAAAATGATTGATGGATAGCACAAGACCTTGGGACATTGAAAGTTACAGTCTGCTGAGGAAAGAATTCGGAAACGAGAAAGTCGAAGAGCATTGACGGTAGCGATTGGAACTCTTTTGGAGTGATGATATCATATGATGTTGATGATAAGTATGTTATTTAAACATATTGTCAATAATTGGTGGGCAGATGTTTGTCAGTTACTTCTCAAATTCGGTGCAGAGTTGGATTAGTTATACCTATCGTATATTATCATTGTCTTATGAATGTACAATATTTAGACTTTCTGCAATCTAATAATTGTAAGTAAAAACATGCAGTGCATTTATGATTTTGAATAGTGACGCTATCATTTCACACTATATGAGTCACGTGCCAAATCATAGTTGTAATGATAGTTAAATTGTAAGTTATAAATTTTTCACGACGAAGTTCCATTGTTAATTATAATAATGACAAAATTAACCTGAAATGACTTACGATACACAGCGGCCTTAACTCGTGGTTTGTAAGTAACGCTGACGAAATAAAGTCAGTAGGTATTGAAGTGTAATTTCAATGGATTTTAATAAGATTTGACGGTTTATGGTGTCCTTTTAGTTTCGCATTAATTACTGGACCAAGTTTTCAGATAACTATTACATTGCTCGAAAACTTGCCACTGTACCGTTATTCGTGATAGAGTATCCAGAAACAAATTGATGAATTATCGGCACCCTACGTTGTGTGTTAACTTCGAATATGTGTTCTAAATGAAAAAAATGTGTCGAATAATCGATCAGACTTAGATATATTGTACATTTGTACGCCACTAGTCATCATTTATCTCTACGTATTCGCTGGAGCGTTTATATATAGAAGATACTTACCTAACTATTTACTTTTGCACAAATGACAATATTCACAGCGGGGGTCATACACTACGAATTGAATTATTCGTAGCGAACTCCGGTTTTCAATTACATTGATGAAAACGTTCACAACCGATG